GGCAGGAGGTTCAAAGGTAGCCTCAGCAATTTAGTGAGGCTCTGAGCAAATTTAGCAAGACCCTGTCTCAAAATACAACATAAATGAGCTGGGGATATGGCTTATTGGCTAAGTGTCTTGGGTTCAATTCTCGGTACAAAAAAAGTATATATATATATATATATATATATATATATATATATATATAATATATATAATAAATAAAATAAGAAAAGAATGAACAATCACTTTCATAATTTGCATTGTAAAATGTCTAACTTGCTCTGGTTCCATTCCTTTTTGGAAGGGCAGGGTAAGTTGGCTCACATGTTTTGAATAAAGGAAATGTTTTGCTTACAGATTCTTTTAGGGAGGCCACTATAAAGCAGTTTAGGGCTTATGATGATTGCTAGGAAATATTCTTTGTCTTGAACGTTTGAATCCGGAAATTACTTCAGAATAAAATAGTTATTTAGACATGTACATTAGGATATTATCCTTTTCAATATGAAAATTGCTCTTTCAGAATATCAGCATATTTACTGTGCACCTGTATTCAGCACTGTGCACAGCACACAAATCAAAGGTTAAATGAGGCGAACAACAGTGATCAGGATAGGATGTTAGGTTGAGTAGCAAGAATAACATTTTGTATAAGTGAAACTCACGAACATTTATTTTATTTATTTTTATAGTATAGCCTTTGAGTCATCTTCATCATCTTGCCTGGCTGTTCACTAACTTAGCCCATGGCAAGTTGTTTAATATCCATAAGCCTCTCTGCAGTCACTGTGAGTGAGGGTATTAAGGATACCTGCTTGATAGGGCTGTTGGGAGAATTAAATGAGATGCATGAGGAACCTATCCCAGGGCTGGAATATAGGAAGGACGCCAAAATTGGTAGTTGTTATCAAAATCTATGAAAAAATACTCAACATTTTTAGTAATCAGGGAAATGCAAGACAAAACTTGCCTGAGATTTTATCTCACACCAGTTAGAATGGCAGTCATCAAGAATACAAACAATAATGAATTCTGGAGAGGATTTGGAGAAAAAAAGGAACATTTGTATACAGTTGGTGGGATTGTGAATTAGTACAGCCACTGTGGAAATCAGTGTGGAGGTTACTCAAAAGACTAGAAATGGAGCCAGGTGCAGTCATACGCCTGTTAATCCCAGCCACTTGGGAGGCTGAGGCAGGAGGATCAAGAATTCAAACCCAGCCTCAGCAACTAGAAATGGAACCAGCATATGATCCAGCTATACTACTCCTCAGTGTTCACCCTGGAGAACTGAAGTCAGCATATGTACCTATCTATGTTTATAGCAGCACAATTCACAATAGCCAAACTATGAAACTAGCCTAGAATGTCCATCAATGGATGAATGGATAAAGAAAATGTGGTATATATACACAATGGGTTTTACTCAACTATAAGGAAGAATGAAATATATGTCTTTTATAGGCAAATGGATGGAAGTTGAGACCATTATGTTAAGCGAAATAAGCCAAGGTCAGGGATCATATGTTTTCTTTCATATGTGAAAGCTGGAGAGGAAAAAGGGGAAAAAAGGGAGGAAAGGTGAGAAGAGGATCTGATGAAAATGGAAGGGAGATAGTGGAGTAGAGGAAAGGAACTGGGGGAGGGAGGAGGAGAGTGAAAGGAGATATACTGAGGAATAATATTGGCCATAATATTGCTATATTGTGTGCATATACAAATATGTAACTAGAATCCCACCATATGTAAGCTACAATGTGCCAATAAAATATGGGGAAAATGTTATCATAGAAAATTCATATCATAATGTGTTCTCACGATTGACAAATCCAGTTCATCTCATTTATTACAATTTGTGGTAAATTTTCTTCCCCTGGAATCCACACTTTTGAGATTTAAACAGGCTCTGAGGCTGTGTGGTTATAATCTTACTAACGTGATCTGGTGAGCTGAGGCCAGTTGTGGGAAGAGGATCACAGATGCTCTTAGAAGTAGTGTGCCGCCAGTGTGGGGTGAGCAGGCTGGTTTTTGTTGACAGGAGCTTTGTCTGCCCTGCTGGTTACTTTCTCCTGGAGGTGGAGCAGGTGCTGTTTCAGGGGAAACACCTTGTGATTTTATTTACCCCCTCCTCATGTCTGACCTGGCCCCTCCTCGTTCCCTTGCATTCCATTTTCTGCAGGTGTCTCTTACCTGGAAGTTTTGGTATTTGTTATAAAAACCTATGAACAAAGACAACAATTGAGTCATTTCAACAGTCTGGCTCCTCGTGACTGTAAGTCATCAAGTTGTTATCAACCTCTAGGGAGCTACTTGAAATAACCACAACTTCCTCTATTTTTGCTCCTTTTTCTTCAGTTCTTTTTTTCTTGATTATTAAAAAAAAACCCCAAAACAAAAACATAACTGACAGCCACGTAAAAGATGACAAACAGTACAAAAATACAAAAAAGAAAAAAACATCCATAATCCTTTGTACAGAAGAAATCACCTGGAAAAATTTGTTGTAATTCCTTATATTTGCTTTCTGTTTATTATTATTATCGTTGTTGTTTTGTTATTGCTAATGTGTGTGTGGTGCTGCAAATTGAACCCAAGTCCTTGTACAAGTTAAGCCATGTGCTCTACCATTGAACTACACCCCAGCCTAATGTGTGTTTTTTATTCTAACATAGCTGAGAACATTCTGTCCATACCATTTAATTTCTCTCTCTCTTTTTTTTTTTTTGAATACTAGGAATTGAACGCAGGAATGCTTTATCATTCAAATACATCCCCAGACTTTTTAATTTTTTAAATTTTTTGGTACTGAGGATTGAACTCAGGGGCACTCGACCACTGAGCCACACACCCAGCCCTGTTTTGTATTTTATTTAGAGACAGGATCTCACTGAGTTGTTTAGCGCCTCGCCATTGCTGAGGCTGGCTTTGATCTTGCAATCCTCCTGCCTCAACCTCCCAAGTTGCTGGGATTACAGGCATGTGCCACCATGCCTAGCTTCCTTTTAATTTTTTTATATTTATGTTTAAGTTGTAGTTGGACACAATAAAGGTATTGTGTATTATTTATTTTTTTATGTGGTGCTGAGGATGGAACCCAGGGCCTCGCACGTGCTAGGCAAACGATCCACCGATCCACCGCTGAGCCAAAACCCAAGCCCTCCTTTTTATTTTTTGAGACAAAATCTCACTAAGTTATTCAGGCTGGGCTTAAACTTGTGAACCTCCAGCCTTAGCCTCCTGAGTAGCTGGAATTATAGGTATATTATGCCATTGTACCTGGCTTAATCTTGATTTTTTTTTACCTTTGATTATAAACATTTCACCTTGTTAAAATAATGTTTTCATTTTAATGGCTCTGTAATGGCTCTCCATGTGGTTTCAGTTGCTATTTTGTCAGGACCTTTTGTTGCACTGGTCCCCTCAATCCACAGGACCCACTGCCACCAGCCCCTCTGGTCCTATCCTCACACACTTCATGGTGGTGCCCAAGCTTAGGCTCTCCAAGGTACTTCTTTTCGGGTTACACCCATCAGTCCTGGGACCTGTATCCCTCTGTGACATCTGTGCCAGGGTGACAAAATCCAGTGGAAACTCTTACCAGTCAGGATACTCCTCTCATTCTTGGTGGGTAACAGGACCTTGGTATCCTTTCCTAAGAGCAGACCTTAGTTGGATACATTCTAACTCATTTGAGATTTTTTTGATAACACCAAATTTCAAAAGGCAAGTGGCCAAAGTCACCTCCCCCCACAAGGCCCCTAGGCAAATTTATCCCCCTCACATAGCTATTAGCACTGAATACTCATCACATCACAAAAGTTCCTATAACACCAGCCTCTTTGGGAATGGCCAGGTGGGGTGCCTAGTAAACCTAAACTCGTGTAACAAAGAAGGGCCATTCAAGTGAGTCTGGGGCCTGATACAGAAGATCAGTTGGTTAAGGGACTTTTAGACATTATCTAGACAGAAACATCTGACACCCCCTCTCTCTAAATTAGGAAATTAAAAAAAAAAAAAGATTCTTCTTCACCAGACACAGCCACTCTTGAGTAAAGCACCTGGGACACCCCTGTCACCCAGAAGTGCTCAGAAATTGTTTGTTCTCTCCCTCCTCCATTCCTTCTTAGCCTGATCGCACCTCTGCATCATTTCAAGCTGAGAACACAGGGCTTTCCAGAAACCTAACTCACTCCAGGAACCAACCATGCATAACCAGCATCCCTCTTGAGACAGGTCCAGGAGTTGATAAAGTGTGCCTTGTTGCCAGCCTGTGCCCCACAAATAAACTCTGTCTGTGAGAAAAGGTGTGGCACCTGCGTTTTTGGAGGTTTAATTTCAAGGAACCATATCATTCATCTGGTTTCACCAACATGTCTAGTTACAAAGCACAAAGGGGCACCTGGGGCATTTCTGTCAGCACCTGGGGCTATCCTCAGACCCCATCTCTGGATTCCAGACCAAGCTCTTTACTAGATTCCCTTGCACGAATTCCAGGCTTTCCCTAGTGGACCAGAGGCGTGGCATCTCAAATCAGACTTGAATTTCTAAAAGCAAATGACAACTCTCTTGAATTGTTTTGTGTATAGAAGCGAGTTTCCACGTTTCATGGGACACAATGAGGTGCTTAAAACCATATTATTCTTTCAGGTGTTTCATTATTGGCTTTAGACACACATTTCCATTAAAACAGAAAGAAAAACTGAGGCCAATTTGAAAGATATCTTGAAATTTTCCTTATTCCCTCACATTTCCTTAACTGGCCTCATTTTGCTTTAATATTTCCTACAGAAATGCTTTGCTAATGCTCTGAGGCGTGGCTTTGGCATAGCAGTCTTTTGTTTTTTTCTGGAGTCAGCCTTCTCTCACATAACATTGCATCCCGGCTCCTTGAAATCCCTACTGAATTTGGAGAACTTGTCTCTTGGCGTCTGACGTGCTTTCCTGGAACAGTATGATGTTGACGACATAGCCCCGTCCCTCCACTTGACAATAAGTTTGCTTGTCTCATTGCCCTTGATTATTCAGTGGTGAGTAAGAAGAGAAGTGGAAAGCCTTTCCTACCCCAGTTTATTATATGTTTCACGCCTAGGCTCTTTTATAATGCCACTTGTGAATAAATTGATCAGATTAGCATGAATCACCTGGCTGGCCAATAGAGACTGGAATGATTCTCCACGTGTGACTTGGTTGCATTATTACAAAATGTGGCAGGATAGACCTGCCCAGCCATCGTTGCTGATGCTCATTTGTAATGCTGTCTTAAGGAGATGAGGAGATGAGAGCAAATTGTTCCAGCAGCTCAGCCTGCCCTGCCAACAGTTCGGAGGAGGAGCTGACTGTGGGACCGGAGGCACATGGGAGCCTGGAACTTGTTTTCACAGTGGTGTCAGCTGTTATGATGGGTCTGCTCATGTTCTCCTTGGGATGCTCTGTGGAGATCCGAAAGCTCTGGTGGCACATCAGGAGACCATGGGGCATTGCTGTGGGACTGCTCTGCCAATTTGGGCTCATGCCTTTGACAGCCTATCTCCTGGCCATCAGCTTCTCTCTGAAGCCAGTCCACGCTATTGCTGTTCTCATCATGGGGTGCTGTCCCGGGGGAACCATCTCGAACATTTTCACCTTCTGGGTTGATGGAGATATGGATCTCAGGTAAGCTACCCTAGCTCAGTAGTCCTTCCCTCATCCCACCTGGAGGGGACTTTAGTGTTTGGGTAGAGATTCCAGTGGGGAGGTATTGCAAATATTATGGAGAGTTGATCATGGAAAGGACTCTCCTTTCTGAGCTCCAGGTTGGCTTTGCTGTGATCTTCCTCTGCTTTATTGGCAACTACTGTTCTGAGTAGTGGGATTTGGCTCATATGTTAACAGAGGAGGCTTGTCTCCACCTCACCCAGTGACCCTTCCCAAATGTGCATTTGTTCTCACCCACACTGGCATTTTCACATTTTGGTAGTGCTGAGAATTGAACCCAGGGCTTCATATGTGGTAGACATACCCTCTAACCACTCAGCTACACCCCCTGCCTCTAACATGCTCACATCTTTAATGACAATTCCCAGGACGTAGCTGAAAATCCCTAGAAGCTAGTGACAGTGGTTTGGTAGTAGTCATAATGGTGGTGATGGTGGTGACAAGTGGCTTAACCAGAAAGAAGGCCTTGAAGTTCTAACTGGTATTTCCTGAGTACCTACTATGCAAAATAATATTTGGGGGATTACATGAAAGAGCTTGAAGGGGCATCTGGTAGATATGTCCTGCTTAAAATGCCAGTGCTGTCATGTTGATTTGATTTAGGGAGAAGTATGAAGGCTCCCCAAATTAAAATTGTTCTTTCTGGTTGTTTTACAGATGTTTAACATTCCTCAGTAGACTTGAATTCTTTTCATTTAAGCCAATGACCTTATTCCTGGTTATGATACAAATAAATACTCCTTGGAGACATTAAGCTTTACCATCTATTTATGCTTTAACAAGGAATGAACATGTTGATTAGGGGAGAAAAGAGTATTTGAAAAAACAATAGACATTGGAAAAAAAGAAGAGCTAAAAACAATGGTCTTTCTAGATTGTTTGTTATTAATAAACCCTCTGTTTTATCTTCTGCTCAGGGAGAGGACTACATATGAATTTAAATCTTTGTTCCATATGTATGCACTTAGATTTACAATACCATGAATGAATGAATCAGAGGTGATGACCGAGATGGGAGTTGACATCAGTGAGTCACCTGGGTTGGGGTTTCCAGTTTCCTTCATGTGCTGAATGTGTGGTGTATCAAACATATTTCACTTATACATTTTAATGGGTTCTTACCACTCAGACTAGTAATTAACTTTCATATGTCTTTTAGTTACCTACCTAGGAGAGATTTAAAAAAAATAAAACCACTTGATGGATTTTGTATTTTACTATTAAGCTAATAATGTATCACCAATTCAAATTCAATAAAATTGATCATTAACTAAAAATGGGATATGATAAATATTCTTTGCCTGAAGTTCACACATCAGTGATAAATTCTAACACCTGAAAGATTTTGGAAGGAAGAAGGAAAGTACTATTGTTAAAAGTACCTCACAGATATGGCATAGATGTATTTATGGATATATTCTCCTCTTGGTCTTCATAATAACCTTGTGAGTGACCTTTCATTATTCTGAATTTTACAGTTGAGAAAATTGTGTTTTGGATTGGTTAGGTAGCTTGCCAACAGAGAATGGCAGAACACATATTTAAATTCACATCTGTTTTACATCAGTCTGCAATTTGGGCCCTTTCTTTTCCATGACATTTAGCAACATGACTGAATCTTCTGTTTTGAGTGGAAGCATAAATCTTTAAATAGTGTTTTCAAACACTTCTGTTCTGGGAAAGAGAACATTTATTACCTTCATCTCTTATTAGTCAGCATTGTTATAAAAACACCAGTGAATAGGAAGTCTATGAAAGATAAGGCTCATTTTACTTCCTTTTGCCAGCTATGTCCTTAATTAGCTTTTAACTCTGGTCAAATTATTTAACCTATGAAATATACACATGCACACATGTACATACACACAGTGGGTATAAAATAAATATTTAGCTACTTTTCTCCTTTTCTTTCTAAATTGAGGTTTTAATTTTCACAAACAAAACAAAACAAACAAACAAAAACAAAAACACTAAGCTGTAGAAACTGAAAACTTAAAGCAGGGACAAAAAATTAGATTTGTTTTTATTTTTATTTTTTTGGTACCAGGGATTGAACTCAGGGGCACTAGACTACTGAGCCATATCCCTAGCCTTATTTTGTAAGCAACAGTGAGATAGGGTCTCACTGAGTTGCTTAGCACCACGCTTTTGCTGAGGCTGACTTTGAACTCTTGATCCTCCTCCTGCCTCAGCCTCTCAAGCCTCTGGGATTATAGGCATGTAACACCGCTCCCAGCTAGATTTATTTTTAAACTAGATTTTCAAAAGCTTATAGATGCAAAACTAATAAAAATCTTAATGTTTGGCAAAAGTTTCAAATAGGAAAAAATTCAGTATTGTTGAGTGAAAGGATATTCAAGTTCAATGCATTTTTTTTTTGCATTGACTACCAATAAAAATCACATTCAAGTAAAACTCAGACTCCAAAAGTATTTTTAAAAATTTTTAATTATTTATTTTATTTTATTATTGAATCCAAAAGTATTTAATGCAGCATTTCTTTTTACAAACAAGGAAACTGGGATGAAGCTCTCTATGCTATTCTCCATGTGTTCACCCCAAACAGGCATTTCAGAATCAATAGGCTTGAATTAGTGTCAGATGATGACATAAATCACTTTGTTCCTTTTGTTTGCTCCATCTACTGCCCAGCCCTGTAGCCCAACTTCTTCCTCTAGTGGTGCTTGCTAGCTGTCCATGCCACAGCTACTTCTCAGTCAGGCCCTGATTCTTTTTTTTTTTTTTTTTTCTTACCCAAGTACTGTATCCTCACATCTGTTCTCTGTATCAGGTTTCCCAGATATAGTTTTGTACTATAAAGACAAAGCAAGCTCTGAGGGCAGATTTCCTGTATCCAAATTCTGACCACAGGTTTCTTTTCTGTAACTGGAAATTTCAACATGGACCATCATGGCATGGTAAGGAAAAAAATGAACATGTTATAACATAGAGGCCTCTCAATACCTAGTAAACTGGACAGAAATGACAAAGCCCTTCTACCCAGCTGCTTCCCATTGAGCACATTACCCCTTGAGCACAACCCATCTATCAAAATAGACCAGTCATCGTTCTCTACACACATCCCATTTTTCTGACTTTGATTTGCCCTTGTTGTTCCCATATCCTGGAATGTTGACTGACATTGTTCTAGAAGACTATTGGTATGAAGAGCTTTCGACATTATCCTGCTCCCTGGCTGTTCTCAGCTGGGTTCTTCTGCATGTTTGGGGATTGGTTAAATATACAGTGGTCTTGGATGGCCTCAGCTGGCACAACTGGGTTCCCTTCCACATTGTCTCTCATTTTCCAGCAGGCTAGCTGAAACCAAATCACAAGTTGTTTTTTGTTTGCTTTTTTTTTTTGTACTGAGGATTGAACCACAGGGCACTTTAACAGTGAGCCATATCTCATTCCTACTCCTTCCTATTTTGAGACAGGCCTCAAACTTTTTAGTTGCTGGGATTATTGGTGTGCTCTAATTATAAGCTCTGAGAAAGGGGATGCATGGAAGATTTTGTGAGGCCTGAGTTTGAATCCAGTTCATCATCAATTTCATCACATCCTATTGGTCCATGTTAACTGCTAGCCCAGCCCAGATTCAAGGAATGGGGAAGTAGGTTTTGATGGATGGTGCTACAACGTAACATTGTAGAGGGCATGGGTAGGGAAGGGCTAAAGATATGGAGACGATTTTTGCCTTACGCCATTCCAGAGATGGACAGGATTGCTGCATTTGAGGAAAGGACATGAAACTAAGATCTGTGTGTGTGTGTTTTGCAGTTACTCAGCCTCACAACAGCCCATGAAGTAGTTATGTTTCTCCTTCTTTTAGAAGGGAGGAAACTGATAAATGAGACCCTGGGTTCAATGCCCAGTACCACCAAAAAGAAAAAAAAAAAAGTGAGGAAACTAAAGCTTGGAGAATTTACATAATCTGCCTAGGTGGCCAGTCGGTAAGTAATGCATCTGCTCACTGTTTCCAGAATGGTTCATTTAACTACTACTCTGCCCTGCTCTCTTTGAGGTAGGTCTATTCTTTCCTGAAAAGACGTATTTGTACCCTACACTGGAGAGAAAATATTCTGTCCATGGAGGGGAGTGGAGACTGTGGAGTTCAGTGACCAATGTTGCTCACCGAACTTTAAAAAAGTCCTTGGTCATCAGAAAAAAGACCCTGGAAACAGGACTTCAGATTTTTCAGATCTGTCTGACTTGGCCTGGTGGAGAAATGAAAATCTTCTGTGCTTAAGGCTTTGCTGAGAATGAATCCATGGGACTTCATGAATGTTCCTATCACACTCTAAACTTCAGTTTCTTTGTGAATAAAATGGAAATAACACCTACACATACAGTTATTGTGTAGATAAAAAGAGAAAACATCATAAATATGCATGAGGTACAATACAAAGCATGTAGTACTTGATAAATGCTCATTATTATTGCAAGGCAGCAGACATATTTGGGTCTGGAAAACTGGTCCTTAAGCTCTTTTCTAGGGCCAATTCTATCGACATGATTTTTTTTTTCTTTTGCAGTACTGGGAATGGGACCCAGGGCCTCATGAATGGTATGCAAATACCCTACCACAGAATTACATCCCCATTCCTCACCTCATTTTAAATATTATTTTGAGGTAGGGTCTCACTGAGTTGCCCAGGCTGGCCTCAAACTTGTAATCCTCCTGTCTCAGCCTCCTGAGTAGCTGGGATTACAGGTGTGTGCCCATCTCCATGTGATATTATAGCACTCTCCTTGTCCATCTGTTAGTGAGATGACTGTTTTTTTTTTTTTGTTTGTTTTTTTGTTTTTTTTTAGTGGGGAAGCAAGTATGTGTGCTTTCATTTTAAGAGTTAGAGTTCCTGATTTTTTATGGATTTGAAATTAAAGCAACATTTGAATATTTTAAGCTTCATTTGCAAAATGTTTAATCGACACTGCCTTTCAACGGAATGTGTACA